CAGCTATATCCAAAATGACAGTGCTTTCCTATCCAGAATGTTTAGTAGTTGATTGTAGTACTGACATGTTTTTGTGGCAATGACTACAAAAAAAAAATCAACTACACATGAAAAAATTGACACTATTATAAATTGCAGCTCAGAATTTTCCAAGCTTCGAAATTTCATTACATCTTATCAACGACGTGAATGTGAGACTGGGTTCAAAAAATAAATATTTCCATTGTCATGGTACGAAATAATCTACTTAAATCAACTACAAATAATTGTAGACAGTAATACGGTGTCATATAGACTCGAGGAATCGATCATTTCCTCGTTGGGCTGTAAAAAGTGTTTGAAAGTTCATTTGAATTTGGACCAAAAATCTGTGGAAACTACAATCAACTACAAACGATTGCAGATGAGAATCCATTCCGACTTGGGCTGCAATTGTTATGTAGTTTCAAATAATTTGTAACAAAACCACATTGGAACTATATTTTCGCACTACGAACAAAAAAATTGACCCTGCTATGCATTGCAGCTCGTAATCTGCAGAGTTCCAAATTTTCATTGCTTTGTATCACGGAGTTACTGTGGGCCTGGCTCTAAAATTGGCCATAAAAGTGGCCATATTAATCTCTGTTCGCACAGTCAGTACTACAATCAACTACTAAACATTCTGGATAGGAAAGCACTGTCATTTTGGATATAGCTGCCGATCACTTTCTTGGCGGGCTTTAAAAGTCTATTAAAGGGTTATTCAAATTCGGGTCGAAAAACTTTCAAAACTACAATCAACAATAAATGATTGTATATAGATAAACTATGGACTTTTCGCTATGACTATCAACCAATTCCTGGTTGGACTTCCAAAATTGATTGAAGGTGTGTTTTTATTCAGAGCGACGAAGTAAGAAAAGTACAATTAACCATAAACGATTGCCCATTAGTACCAATTATCATTTCGGATATAACTGTGATACAGTTGCCAACGGGTTTTCAAAAACAGATTTCGGGCGTTTTCTTCAACTACAAACAAAAAAATTGATACTACTATGCCTGATACGTGGTAATCTACCAAGCTTCCAATTTTCATTCGATTTCAGCAAGGTCGGGTGCCAACTTCACGGAGCTCCAATGTCGCCATATTAATGAACTAGAGATAATTGCTTTTGAAGGATTAAAATGGTTTGCCAAAAACCTTCACGATTGCGAAATACTCCTCAGAATCGACAACACAACAGCAATAGCAACAATTAACAAAGAAGGTAGCATTCAGTTTCCAGAATTAAATAGCCTCAATAGGAACTTATGGCACTGGTGCGAGGAAAAAAAAATTGTCGTTAAGGCTTCATACATTAAATCTGAAGAAAATGTGGGGACAGATGAAGAGTCTCGTATGCTCTGCCCAGAAACAGAATGGGAATTAGGCTATTCAGCGTTCAGAAGAATATTCAAAGACTTTGGTCTCTTTGATATTGATTTGTTTGCCTCCAGTTGAAATAACAAATGCGAAAAATTCGTATCCTGGTTAAAAGATCCAGATGCTCATGCAATCAATGCTTTTACACTTGACTGGCATCACCGGTATTTTTATGCTTTCTCCCCTTTCTCAGTCATTTTGAGGGTGCTACAAAAAATCATCACGGACAGGACAGGGGTCTTAATTGTTCCCAATTGGGCAGCTCAGTGCTTGCATCCCGTGTTCACCAGTTTATTAACTGAAGACCCAATCCTTTTTGAACCCAGTGATGAATTATTATTATCACTTTTTAGAGAAGTTCACCCGTTACACGCGAGCCTTACCCTGGTGACACGACGTTTGTCAGCCAAGCACTGAGCCGACAGGGTTATCCCCAGGAATCTCTGCCAGTGATTGTGGCATCAATAACACCAGCATCCATGAAACAATACCACGCTGGGCTCAAGCGTTGGTGGTCATTCTGCCAAGGTCATAACATTTCTCCCTTTGATAATTCAATAGCATTTATATTGAAATTTTTCACCCTCCTGGAACAGGAAATACGCTCTTTTTCAACTCTCAATAACTGTAGGGCAGCCTTTTCATTCATTTTTGGCCAGAACGTAACTCTGGATCCTAGATTAAGTCGTTTTTTTTAAGGGTACTAGCACATTACAACCAAAGACACCCAAATATTCGAAGATTTGGGATCCCCAGGTAGTATTGAACTACCTACAGCCATTATATCCTTACGAAAATCTTTCATCAGAAATAATAACAACGAAATTGGTAATGCTCTTGGCTCTGAGTACAGCTCAAAGAGTTCAAACACTCTCATTAATAAGAATATCGGACGAGACAGATCGTATAATCTGGATCAATCGTCACTTGCAGGTAAGTTCGATAGATCCCTCAATTATACCACACTAATTGATTTACATTAATAGCACGTATTTTGCTTGATTTCTGTTTTCTTTTCCGACATTTTTGCATTTTCGCAATTTACATATGTAATAAAAGCATCGTATACAGTTTAATGCTCTCATCAGTACCGAATGTGAAAGTTACCATTTGATCAACTTTTTCTAATTTGTGTGTTTATAATGAATTTGGCTCTGGGCTTACATTCCACGTATGTAAATATTTTGAATCACAAAGATAAGATAACAGCGATTTTTTTGCTTCACCTTATTTCCCTTGATATGCTCATCTGTAGTCACGGTTGACATGAATATTTCGTTAATTTGCAATACAATGTTATTTCGCAGTAAAACACAAATATTAGGAGGCGTTCTTGTCAACGCGATACGTTTATATTTCAAGCATTTAATAATAATTCTGTTTTTTTTATCTGCTCGGGATTTCATCAGTTTCAATGCACAACAATTTTGGAGTTAATAAAATTACTGGCAGTAATATATATGAACAGGCCCTGTTACTGGGAAGAAAGGACACACACTGAAGTATAACTTATTATGGCCAGATTACAGCCAATTAAAGCCCATATCAGGTGAACCCTATCAGGTAAAATATATACTTCACTTATCAGTACCTGACCAAGTTACTGTACGGTGAACCACGTGAGATGAACATTAAGCATGGCAGGCCTCGCAAAGAATTCGTAAAAATGTAGTTAGAATTGGTGAGCAAGTCTTACTATACCCAGATCACGTCTTGATCAGTCTGTTGCAGGCACCGCAGTTAAGAGGTTGCATTACCCTGACGCTCGGAAAAACAGGTCAAAAAATGAATTTATTTTTAACGCACATATAATATTTATACGAAAACTTATATTTTACCTACATATCATAGATATTTCCGAACAATTTCCAACAAATAAATTGTTTTCCAATTAAAAAATGACGGGGATATAAATTTTTGGTTGCTGCCTCTTTTTGCAAATCCTCGTTACCGGTGGACACAATGTCTCACTGGGACTTCATTTGAAAAATCCAAAAAAAATGTTATTATTCAGACAGATAATCACATGAATCTACGCGGGGAAAAAATTTTAAAAATTTTTTTGAAAAAATGGCAGTGATTTGAAAAAAAAATACGATTTCGATATAAATTTTTCGTTAAATAAATTTATAACTTGACAATGAAACAACAAATTAAAGTTGTTTGTGTTGGTCGAATCATCCATGAGTGGGGTTATTCTAGTTTTTACTACCAATGCACTCTTGTGCAGCAGTTCCCTGAGTTCAGTCTTGTCTACCATATCAGCGCATCTGTTTCCAAAATTCAGACGACAAATTTAGCCTTCTGTACTATTTCAGTCCGAGTCATGTCTTCTCCGCGTCTTGTCTGTTATATCAGCGCATCTATCTCCAAGTTCTGTCTTCCACTAAGTCAACTTGTTCATAAGCCAATCCAGCAAATTCAGCTTGGACCAGTTTTTCCCGCCGATGATCATCAGTGTCTGCACAGCCACAAGCCCCTCCAGGAAGACCGATTCACCGACGATCATCCACCGACCTCAAATCCTGAAGGACACATCAGCTTGAGCCTGCAGACACGATCACATCCATTTCTCGTCCCTTTCTGCTTAATCAGCACTTATCGTAAATCGAATCTAGACACATCACACTAAAACACTACTCTTCTCACTAACTCATTCGACCCCCCGGTTTTTACCTCTGATTTCCTAATGTATTTTATCCACGTGTGTGTTTAAGAATAAAAACCTAACCCAAAAATGATCTATAGAGTGTTCTTTTTCTCTGTCTAACTTATAAGTCAATTACTTGCGCAAAGTAATCATTGTATACCTTAGTAGTGAGTCCCATCCAGTCAGATCCTACTTAAAAGATAATTCTCTCTCTATCCTCTATGTTCTCTCTCTATTTTTCCCTTTTTTCGTCATCAACTTCCCCAGTCACGGCCCAACGAACAGCAGGGTTTTCTTCACCTTTCATCACAACTAAAGAGATTTTCAATACCCGTAACCGCAACAAGTTATTATGTGAACTCCGGTGGATCAACTGAAAGTTTACTAGATCAGGGGCCTGTCAATGACAAAATGCTACAGACTTTGTAAAGGAATTTTTATGATAACCAGATAATGGTCAAATTAGTTTCGAATTAGGCCAACATTATCAAGTAAGCTCTATGATATGCTATCGAGACCCTTAAAAACGAGACCTAAGGTCAGGCTTGGCAGGTAAGCCTGATAGCAACTAACTAAGATCCTGTTCAGGTATATACCTGATAAACCTGGAAGGTACACCTTATATTTATCAGGTATGTGAGTTATGTGACAGGAGGGTCAGTTTGGCTGGATTCCAGTTGGGAATATTATATCGCTGAGGACAAATTCTATACTGAAATATTCCTAAAATTTATCCTATGAGAGGATAGTCATTGAATGGCGAAAAAATCAGTACAGAATTATCCTTCCATCAGGATAATTTTTATCTAGACTGTAGAATATTTTCCCTCCGTGTATTATAGATTATTAACGGTGGGTGGTATTTCAATGTTATAAATCAAGCAGTGTGATTCAATCAAATCCTCCCTTCTCGAAATAGTCTTTCATGGATTGACTTTTTACCTCTCTGTTATCGATTTTCCACAGCCCGCGCATTCCTGTTGAGGAGCTCCATTCTTGCACGACTCCGTCTTACTCACGTCCATCGTCATCTCGCGATACCTGATGCATAAATAATTCTATAAATTATTTAAGAAATGAATTAATTGGTCTTCAAGACGGTTGAAAATGCCAGGGGCTTTTATCGATCGTATTAATAGTCATTGAATAAAATATGAAAGACGAATAAATTTGGGATGGTGATCTGTCTCGTCGGCTAACACCAGAGTGTGCCTGAATATTGCTTTTATCAAGTTTCAACGGCAGCTGTTCGTATCCGCAGCTTTCTCAGTTTGTCTATGAGTAATTAGAATTGAGGGAGTAGGGATACCGAGAATTTAACGGCGGTTTAGTGCCATCTGTGTCCGAGTATGGGGGCGTTCTCTGGTGTGGTCAGAGAGGAGTTTAGAATCGAATTAGTTTTGACCCGTACTACCTCCGGTTGTATGGGACTTTGGGGGAATGGGGTAAATAAAGCCAAGTGTCATGTCATCAAGACGATTTCACTCCATTTTTTGTTACAATTTGTCTATACAACCCCTGCCCCTGAACGGTGCCGATTGGAGGTGTTCGGCAGCGGTCCAGCTGATGAGTTGCAAAATTAGCCATTACTGAGGTGACCCGATGGATCAACTGTTGCATTGAACTAAATGCATGAATATGGGTGCCTATAAAAAGCCTGTACGAATACGTAAGCGTAATATGTTATCATAGTATGGTTCCCTTAATTTGTCGGTTTCTTTGTAGAAACCTCCCTTCTCAATCTGTTCCCCTTTAAAAATGTTTTCTCACCAGCCGTCTGAAACTGTCCAAATTCGTAGTATAATATATATGCTTTCAATCTTGTCGCTGCGCACAAATTAATCCGCGAGGTAGTGTATGTGATACCAGACATTGTTAACATTTTGTTGTGAACCGGCATAACCCAATCCAAGTATGTCAATAGGTTTTCTTTTATAAAAAAGAGTGTTTTGAATAAAAGAATCAAGAAGTCGGGAAGTGACAATTCGTGACTTGATTATTTTTGCATTTTTCGAGAAGTGAAAGGTCATCCGCTCTTACTACGTCATGCCATCGTGTATCGTTACTGGTTGTGTTTTTATACTCCAAAAGAGCTTGAACGATTGAAAGAGATTGGATATGAGCAAGAAACATGTCCAACCTTAAATCGGGTGATTCCATTTGATACAATCATTTCGAGAAAGGGAAGTGCAAGGACAAAATAAGCTATTCAGCTAATGGCTAAATATTGCAAAAGGTAAGTCGATATTTATACAATTTAAATTACCAGATTCACATTTTTCCTGCTCTCTTCTGGATTCTTTAAAAAATTACTCGATTGCAAAAGGGTGCGATTCCCTTTCAATTCGTTTGAATTATCACGGACCAAGACAGTTCTTACAGTTCGCAAGGACGATCGCAGCTTTCCTGTGTTTATTCACCAAACTTGAAAGGTTCTCGTGAAGTCGATACTTCAATGGAATTCACTTGTCCTCCAAGCGCTGGCATTTCTACGTTCGATACGGCAATAATTAGTGAACTACAAAATATCGAATCTGATGCCAGAACACTAAGTGCTTGTTGTGCAAGTTCAGGTATCTCAAGCTTTTTCCGGAAGATACTCCAATAAGACCTCTAATTACTTGTTTTTCAAATTCTGCTTCAGAAGACGTTTGTATAGACTTCCCCCAGAATTCTTTAGGCGGTTTCTCTGAGAGGATTGGTTTAACGGCATTGGAATTCTCACAGATTGGTTTGAAAGATTTACCCAAAATCGTCAAAGTACCTGTTGATTTGTCAGTAGAATGTGTATCAAAGAATAAGGAAATTGTCACGGTTTTTGCGAAAAATATGTGCTTTGAGACTGATAACTACTACAAAATAAACGCGTCAAAAGGAATAATAGTCAAAAGAAGTAATAGTCAATGAGAATAAAGACGTGAAACCACACATTCTTGAAAAAAAACGAACTTATCTAGGCTTAATTTCAATGAGAAAGTAACTACTGTCCAACAAATAGAAGATTTACTACGTAAATTGGACGAGGTCCAAATTTGTAATGATTTTCACAATCAAAAGAACATTCCTACAATTGTGAGTACAACAATAATAAGAGACGTAAGGCATCGATGGCGGCATATAAGCTACTCTCTTATTGTAAAGCAGTCTACAATTTGTGATTTTTGTCGCAAAGCAAAAAAAGACAATCGCTAAAACACTTCAAGGGGTCAGCAGACAGATAGAGCCGAAGAAATTAAAAATCCTTTTATCTTCAATTCGGAGAAAGCAATGATTCAAAATGAAACACGAAGTTTGTTCCGCAAAAAAAATGAAATAGGGAGCTCAGAAGATTATCAAGAATTGGAAAACAGAGCTTCAGGAGTGCCAAAATAAAATTAGAGGACTTCAACCGAAAACAGTTGAATATTACATGGGACACTAGAAACTTCAGCAGATTCTCAGTTCTACAAAGCGAAAAAGTGCAAGCGGTCGACATTACGATAAAGAGTGGATGTTATGAGATTGAATGAGGTCACCATCGACTTATGAATTGCTCCGGAGAAATGAGATTTTGCCCAGGTGGGGATTAACCATTGGTCCGAGCTTGGCCAAAGCTCGGACCAAGACTACCCCAGCTTGGCTCAAGCTTGGAATTCAAGATTGTACCAACCTTGGTTATTCCTTGGTTTGTAACGCTAGTTCAAGCTTGGACGTCGAGCTCGATCCAAGGTTGAGCCAAGATGCTAAAATGAAGGTAGTCCAGGCCTGGGCCAAACTTGGACCAACCTTGATTCAAACTTGAACGTAGAATTCAAGCCGAGCCTAGGATCCAATCCTTAACCAATCCTTCAGCTTATCTAGCATTTATTGATTAAAATAGAGGCAAAAATGAAATAATTAGTTTTTTATTGTAGATACAAGTCAATTTTGCCTCTATTTATCATTCCCTGATAAATTGGTCTTTGAAAAAACCTAATTAATTAATTTAAAAATTGACCGCCGCAACCGAGATTCCAATACATAACCCTAACATTATGAAACCTACGCCTTACCACTGAGCTAACACATACTTATAATTTGTAATTTTTAATTGTGCATATCAACTCTATGTCAACTTTATAGAAAAACTGTTGTTGAATAACGTTCTATTTATTTAATGTAACTAACATCAGTAACTATTTACTTAATTTACATTATTCATTGACATAAGTTACTTTTTCTCGACTCCTCTCCCCCCCCTCTCCCTTCTTCTACGACTCCTAATCCTTATTACGAACATACGCAGTAATTTATTCTATCTGTAACTAATTGATTGTTATCATTATAGCCATTATTACTATTATTATTATTTATTATTTTATTTATCTATTCTAGGCTTGGATCCAAGCTTGGATCCAAGCTTTGGAACATGGTCGGAATTTCCGAGGTACCCAAGCTTCGATTTGCCTATTTTCACCAAGTTTTGTTAAACACTGTATTTGCATAACATCAAAGTTGGTCCAAGATAGCAATTCCACACGGAGAGAAAAATACCGGAAAAATTACGGAACTTTCACGTATCCGTGGGGTGACCTTGCTTTTCGGGAAAAAGTACTGAAGGTACCGTAAAATTGTCCTGAAAGTTTCGTAAAAATTCCTGCTGGTTACGAAAATTTCTACCGAACTTACAGTATTTTTTCCTGAAAACCAAGGTCACCCCATGAATACCTGAAAGTTCCGTAATTTTTCCGGTATTTTTCTTTCCGTGCAAGGCTTGGAATGCCCTAGACATCATATATTGGATCAAGCTTGGTTAAAGCCGCGCGGTTGAAGCTTGGAATACCAAACCTGGACCATGATCGAAACTACCTTGGTATACAAGCTTGTATTTCCATTACATCAACAAGCTGGGTTGAACCATGACAATTCCCTAGAATCAAGGTTGGTTCAAGCTAGCAATTCCAAGGCTTGGAATGACCTAGGTATGATATATTGAATCAAGCTTGGTTCAACCTAGGAATTCCAAAGCTTGGTATCCTAAGCTGATCCAAGCTTGGACCCATCGTTCAAGCTTGGATTTCCTCACCTGGGTGCCCCTCCCGTCGCCAAGAACAGTTCCAAGGTAATTGAACTGAATTCTTTTGTTTATTAAATTATTAGAATTCAAAAATAAACTTATGACTGCCATTTGTAATACAGATACTTATAATGAGTTAACACGGTCTGATTTGATCCAAAGTTTTTCGAACTAGTCAAAATGTAATTTCATAACAAAAGTGGAATGCGAAAAACATAATTTTTAGTCAGTGTAACTTATAATTTGTCTAGCTATTTCTAGTCAGTACGTTGATTGTCATTTTCTAATTTCGCGCGCATAATTCATACCAAGAGTGAAGCAAAAAACCCCCAAACGATTTTTCTTGGAATCCATCTTTTTTGATGGAATCGTATGTGACCGGTGTGTTTGAGGAAGACAAACCATTTTTTTACCGCAAATTGACATAATTTGCTTGGAATTTCTGATTATTATAAATAATAAACAGCTGAGTTCAATTCAAATTGATTGCTGGTAAGTATTCATACTTATTAATGGTTTCATTCTCAACATTATCATTTAGACTCAACTATAACTGCCCTCCATATATATTGTTAAAAAAAATGAACACTTCCTGTGGACATTTGATTTGTAATTTTCAGGACAATGACACTCAGTTTTCAATGAAACCCGAAATTTGATGAATTTTTATCCAATTTTCTGATTTTCTATAAATTTTTGAGTCGAAATGTTGCTAAAATTTCCACATCGCGTTGATTTTTCGGTAGAGTTCTGAATTTTTAAGATTGTATATAGTATAAGTACGTAAAATCTATGCAAAGGTCATTGAGCGTTTGATAGAAGATGGAAAAACGTCAGGAGGAAAAGAAAATGCAATTATGAATGAAATTTACAATGATCAAGGTTTTCCTCCTCATATATCTCGACAATGCAATGTTATATCTGCAAACATGACATAAAAATATCTAAGGCCCCTGCAGTCGAGAACCGAGCAGTACGATGGATTTTATCAAATTATGAAAGGCAT